ATGGGCACTATAAATGGATTATTCATTTGAAATCCCATCTAGCAAAATTCTCAGGATCCTGTAAAAATTAATTTGTACAAGTGAGTTTTTTTTACCCCTGATATATTGCACACTGCGCAGTAAATCTTTAGCCATAAAATCACAAGAATTTAGACTATCGGTGTCAACGAGCTGCTGGCAGGATTTCTTGTGGTCATGCAGGTAACATTAACCACAGTTGGGGGAGTGGCTGGGGAGGGAGAGGATGGCAGGGGTCACTCCACAACTCGGGTCAAATGTTCTTATTTTTTTAATGCCTTGCAGATGCATCAGCACACACAGCGATGTTGCTCTCTACAAAAAGGTCTCTAGGCAGGGCTATGAAAATGTCAGCCCCTGTGAACTGCCCAAGCTTTGTTTAATCCTCAAATATCTCCAAAAAAACAGCGGGGTTCTCAGGAGAGATCAGCACATTTATGATTTATGAGCCCTTTGGGTGACGCGTCTCACGCTGAAGATGATATCTGGGCCAGAGGCCACAGCAGTCGGCTCCGCCGGTTTTGTCAGGGATACTCACACTAGGCAGCGGAGGTTTGATTTCAGAAGCACACACATTATCGATTTATTGATATGCAACCCTCCCTTGTGCAACTTGTGGCATTGTCCCTGCTTTGCGAGATAAACTGGGAGCTGGTGCGCGAGGCTGAATACCAAAAAGCCACATTTGAAAAGCCCCTCTGTGGTCAATTGATTGTTAATCTATGTAATTATTGGGATGAAATGACCTTCAACTTTCAGATTGAGATATTACAAAGAATACCTATCATGCATGGCACATGTCGGTAAAATGTAGTTTAATATGTATTCTTACTTTCAATGTACATATCAGTGATGAATGTATTCCACATCAGTTTCATTATTTATATACATTGGGTATGAATATATTACCTAATTTAATAGTTATTTTTTTAAAGGCTTCAAGAATATTTTTTCATAAACACCTAAAATATCACAAAACACCGAAACACAAACACCTAATCACAATGCATTCTATGTTGCTTGATTATGCCATTATCTATGACCTAGTGGGAACGCACACCTTCGCGCATCTTCCACACTAGAGATATGTAAATACATTTATGGTAGTAAATTAAACAACTTAGAAAGAATGCAAATAATACATCGGGAATGCACACTCCAAAAGAGTCTCATTCAACGCGTTCACGGCTAACAACAGGCAGCACTGAAGACCAGACACACTCGATGTGGCACGCATTCATTTGAGGGTTATATTTACTGAATGCTTTATCATTTGTTTATTAGCATATCAGCTCCTGTGCGCCGTTATTGACTGAAGCCGATCAGGGGGGGGGGGGGGGTGTTTTTGTTTTATTGGGAACTCTTTCTTCTCAAGCCATTGTCAACACAAGTTCGAAACCACACGCTGGCGCTTTCCAACCGGCTGTTTTTTTGTTTACACAAACGTCGACTGCGTCGTTTCGCGGAGCAGCCGTAGTTCGCTTCAACAGCAACACACCAGCCCCCTTCTCTTCAATGTGCCCCAAGGCAGTCATATTGTTCAAGTCCTTGACGTTTTATGAGAATCCTCTGTCTGAGATGTCAAGCATCTCTGCGAAATATCCACAACCGATTTTCACAGCTAAGCAGCTTGCAACATGGCATTCAAAGGCCACGATAAAAATAACAAACGTCGTACAATGAGCATTTTTCTCCAAAGGCAGATAAACGGCCATGGCATTTTGAGATTGCGTGCGAGAGGCATGAAAATTTACTAAAAGAACATTTATTGTTGACAAATACATCATCTGATGGGATGGATAAAATAAGGCCAATAGTGATTATATTCTTATGTAAGTGCCCAAGAAGTTAGTCGTGCATACACGATGGGTACAATGCATATGCACGTTAAATGCACGCCGTTATAGATCAAAGTTACATCACGTGATTTAGTGACGCATTCGCATTGATTCGATGTAAAGCGCAGTAGACTGCACAATGAACCTGACAACCGGAGTTTGATTCACCAATGACGGTTAACACAAGTGACAAGTGATATCAGATCGTGTCCTCACACCACTACCACCACCCCCACATGAACCAAGGTGGTAAGGTATATGGTTAAACAATCCCCTTGACCAAAAAGGGATGCATTCACCCAGCAGTAGGACAGTACATTATACGCATTGTTTACAGCAGTATTTGATCAATACAAATATATTTCACGATGTTAACGTTATTACAGCGGAGCATCTTAGTCACACGTGGTCTATGACAGATCTCCTAGATTGAAAACACAAGTGATGTAAATTCTAACGATTTTGCAGAATTTCTAATTAGACCAACGTTAGCTTGGACGCAATTGTTTTTATGCTTACAACTAAAATACTCTCTGGTTCTTTCGGTAAAGTCACGTAGCTGGAAAAAGTAATAAAATAAAATAAACACCAACTTAAATGTATGGTGCCACAATTTTCTCCTTTAGACTTTTGAGCATAGATGTGTCAGCACAGACAAGTGCAGTACAATACAGTACAATAATAGTACAATATGATACAATACAGTACAATAATAGTGCTATACAATGCAGTCAAGTGATAATACGATACAGTACAATAATAGTACAATGCAATAGTACAGTAAAATAATAGTATAATACAATACAATGCCTGACAGCAGCTAATTCCAACCTCCTGTGCACTGTGGTCACCCAAACACTCTTACGGCTCTGCTTAGCCATCAGAGATCTGACCGGGGATGGGGTACATTCTGGTTGATTTGGTCATCGGAGATGTTAGTTCATGTGTTATTCCACTAATCATTAAAATATACGTTAATGTTACTCTTCTTCAAGAACAAAACAAAACGTAGGAGCAGAGGACAGCTGTGAATGCGGGGCAACAGTGCAGTTCTTACCTTCACAGCTTCATCAGCATCATCCGCAGCACGGGATCGTCTATCCAAGGCGCAGGCCCACACGTCTCTCCAATGCCACCACGCATGGTAAAAAAACACTTGCGGAGCAGTGGCACATGGACATTCTGGGCCGTGTCAAAACGCCTGCCTCGGAGGGTTTCACACGCACAGCTTTTGACACTTGCCAGCAACCGCCACTCACGTCAGAAGAATCTGCCACCTTTTCATGCGCACACTCGTGACGAGTCACGCTTGCCGATGAGCTGCCGTGCGTGTGCTTGGGCTTTGAAAGTCATTTTTATTTTCAGTTACAACTCTGCTTTGATGAAGTACATTTTAAATACGTTGCGCGAGGGGTAATTCGAAGGAAAGCGAGAAGAATCGCAACGATGCATCTATCAACTCGACCATCCGTTGCATCGATGCTATTCAAGTCAGATCAATTGTAGTATCCAGCTCAAACTCACATTAGGAACCAATCATCCTGTTCAAAGCCTAGAGCCAGTGGTGGAAATACACGCTCTCTTGATGAAACAGCCTAATCGTAAAACGACAGTTGAAATCCCAGAAAGTGGTACATTACTCGCTTGCGTCAACCTCAGCCGGGTGAAGGAAGGATGGGTGGACGAGTGGACCCCCCATTGTGATTTGAACTCTCAACCTTCTTGACCACAGTGCTATCCAGGCAGGCGGACAGAAGCCACCCACGTAAAATGATGGGAACTTAAAATCCCACACCTTCCCGCCCCCCTATAAAATAACAGACTGGTGACAGCGTGGTAGCCAAAGGAGAGAACGCACCCAAGAAGACGATTGGCACGGAGATAGAGCAACGAAATCAGGTTGTGTGCCACGAGTGAAATTAATGGGAAGCGCGGTGGATTGGAAGGGATGGTGATGTGGTAGGGAGGCCTTAATCCAGCAGCGGTTAGACTGTCTGATGATCAACATGATGAAAACACAAGTTTTAGAATCGGTCTCAGCTCATCCACGTGTCAGTAACTTGCAGATACTATGTATTCATATGACGGAGGCTTGGAAAGACTTGAGCCACTGAATCTTGGAGATAGAAAACATTGGTGACATTATGAAGTGGCGGTAAGGTCAGGTTACTGCAGTGCCAACGCCGCTTGGGTGAGGAAGGGCAAATAACCACAGTGGGTGACAGCTCCCATACGATGCATGCTCCAGCATGACGTATGGTCAAATAATAAACATCCGCACCACGGGAGCTACACATACCGTCTTGAAGTCTCTCTTTAGATTACCCGCGAGTCTAATTGTCAAAATAAAAAACACACTACTTCCTATGCCAGTGTCATTGATATTCGGCAACATTGTTCACCAAGTTGCGAGCATTTACACAAATCCATCTTTTGTTTGCATGCAAACACAAGCTGGTCGTGTCAATCCGCTGCTGGACAAGGCGGGGGGGGGGGGGGCTCAAGATCCAGTGCCACTCGTGGGGTTTGACCGTTTGGTCAATACCGGTTGGCAAAAGGCACGGAAGCACAGGTGATCGAACACAACCCTGTACAATGGCTTTTTTTTTCTGCACTTCCCTTTTGCTGCTCACAACGTAGCACCGCCCTCCGCCCCCACAGCAATAGGTGTACTGGATTTCACTCTAATTGCTTGCACAGTATAGGGCCACAATTAGCCATCTATTATAATGCCACTGCCTATTACAGACTTCGTGGCTCATCCTGAAGGTATGTTTTCATTACAACCCAGACCGGCTTCTCCCTTGCAAGCAGATATGTTATTTCAATGAGCTCACTGCTGGTTAAAAGCATACACCGCATATGCGCACACTCACGAGTATTACACGGGGACTTAAATCCTCGCTGGTCAAATGGAGTAGGCAACGTGAGCAGAAGACAAAGCCAGAGGTATTACTGGATGCGGTGCGCTGGGTTCATGTTCCCAACAGACCTGGATGAAATATACACAGCGTTGTAATTAAGCGGCACATTTAGAAGCACATTTGGCAGACAACTAAATTAAGTGATAGTTTATACAGAATTACGATGACGTAATAGTCAACTGCCTGCAGATGTTACCAGCAATTGCAAGGACCAAAACAATAAAATCAGAAGTGTTTATTTCCAAAAAAAGAGTCCGTGTTTATAATACATTTGTATAATTATCATTATTACTTTAAAATAAAATTGAGATATACGTCAAAGCAAAATATTGTACATTTACTTTGCAGCGCTTATCAAGAGAGAAACGTGAGTGCGTGTTTGCACGTGTGTGTGTGTGATGTTGCATTACATGGGTGTCAGGTTGGCATCAAACCCCCTTCAAGAAAATGGGATGCGTGAAGACATCGTTCTTGATGGATCTTGATGATCAAGGCATCGTGTACAGGCGACAATACTGCGATTTTTACTTCGAAAGAAAAACAAATTTCATCGGCGGCACCACCACTACCAGCAGACTTTTCCACCAGCAGTCCACGTACATGGGAGATGTACAGCCCTTGGCAATCCACTGCTAGATGAGGGTCCCCAAAATCCACGGGTGGTGGTGGGGGGGTCAATCAGATGCACAAAGTCTGTACAGCGGTCTCAGACGTGAGTCACTTACATTGTACACGTGTAGTCATGTAGTTAGTGCCCGTCTCCCAGAGGATGTGAATTATTAAGGCAACCGACGGTGAATTTAAGACAAAGCGACACTTGTGTTTAGGGTCAGGTTTACAACACGAGACAATGTAGAGTCATGGACATTTCACTGGAATCTTGTTTTCCCGACGTATTGGCCTCGCATTTCCCTGCATCATAAGAATAATTCTATTTTATGGTTATTTTATGAAAACACAATGTGTGTGGTTGCTTCCAAACTTGGCCCAAGAGTTACACAAGAACCAAGAAAAAATAAAAGAGTTAAATCAAGGGTCACGTTACAAAAATAAATAACTTATCTTCGAAAGCAGGTAATGCGATACGCACACAAAATTATGACTCTAAGCGAAGTCTATACCCACATTACACGGGAACAACTACGGTATTAAAAACCTTCTGCAGTCCAATCAAGTATAGGTTCAGTCCGTCCGTCGAGACTGCTTTAACGCGCGTATGATGTTTAGCAATATATAGGGCAAAACTAAAATGATTAAAAAAAACACGTAATTTGAACGATGGGAGATATTTCATCGAGTCAATGTTGGGTGAATCAACCCAAAATATCCCTAAATTCGCCGCATGTAGAGTTAAAAAACAAGTTAAACAATTCATCATCATCATCTGTACAAAATCTAAACGTTTCGGTTGTTTTTTGTTTGTTTTCCTTCCGTGTAGTTTAAGCGCGCTGTTTTAAACGAGAGAGAGAGAAAAAAAAGAGTTCTGGCTCTAGACCGCGGGTCACACCGTGGTCTCGCCGTGCGACTTATTGCTCAGTCTGCTGTAGAAGTTGCGCCACGACTGCAGGGTCTTGCCCGACCAGATCCAGAATCCCGACGTGATGCCCACGATGAGCGTCATCAGGTACTTGATCATGAAGACGGTGAAGTCCGGCTTCATGTTGGGGTAGTGTCCCTGCGGGCACTGGACGGCGAAGCTCTTGCACGTGTGGGCAACCCACGTCTTCTCCCACTGCGCGCGGAACGCCTGCTCGTAGAAGTAGCACGCGATCACGATGGTGGCGGGCACCGTGTAGAGCACGCTGAAAATGCCGATCCTCACCATCAACTTCTCCAGCTTCTCCGTCTTGGTGCCGTCGTGCTTCATGATGGTGCGGATGCGGAAGAGCGACACGAACCCGGCCAGCAGGAACGAGGTGCCGATGAAGAGGTAGACGAAGAGCGGCGCCAGCACGAATCCGCGCAGCGCGTCGATGCTGTTGAGGCCCACGAAGCAGACACCCGTGAGGACGTCGCCGTCGACCTGGCCCATGGCCAGGATGGTGATGGTCTTGATGGCCGGCACAGCCCACGCGGCCAGGTGGAAGTACTGCGAGTTGGCCTCGATCGCCTCGTGGCCCCACTTCATGCCGGCCGAGAGGAACCACGTGAGCGAGAGGATGACCCACCAGATGGAGCTGGCCATGCTGAAGAAGTAGAGCATCATGAACAGGATGGTGCAGCCCTCCTTCTTGGTGCCCTGCACCACGGTGCTGTAGCCGTCCTCGGAGAACTTGTTGCAAACGATCTTCTCTTCGAAGAAGAAGCCCACGATGTAGGCAATCGACACCACGGCGTAGCAACCCGACAGGAAGATGATGGGCCTCTCCGGGTAGCGGAACCTCTCCATGTCCACCAGGTATGTGAGCACGGTGAAGAGCGTGGAGGCGCAGCACAGGATGGACCACACACCAACCCACATGCGCGCGAACCACAGCTCATCTGCGTCGAAGTACATCAGCCCGTTGGACTTGCTCGGCTCACACGGCGACCCGCATTCCTTCTTTCCCAGAAACTGGTAGTTGAGATAGCCGGGCACCCGGAGCACGGGGGGACAGGTCAACTGATAGCTCGACGAGTCGCCGCCACTGCCACCACCGCCACCACCGATTCCGCCGCCAGAGGATGGCCCACCGGGTCGGTAGTGCGGCGGCAGAGTGAACGAGTCCCCGTGCGGAGGTGGGTGCGGGTCGGGAGGAGTCGGGTGGCCGCCCTTTTCGTCCGTGTGGTTCTGCCCCACGCAGATCTTCTCCGAGCCCTGCACGGGGAAGTTCTCGCAGCGAAGCCGCTCGGGCCACTGGAAGCCGAACTTGTTCATGAGCGTCTCGCAGCCCTGGCGAGCTCTCTCGCACAGCAAGCGGCACGGCGGGATCGCCTCTTCCAGCACGGTGCATACGGGCGCGTACATGGAGCACAGGAAGAACTTGAGGTCGGGCGAGCACTGCACCTTGACGAGCGGGTAGAACTGGTGCACCTCCAGCCCCGCGTCCTCCTGGTTGGTGTGGCCCAGCAGGTTGGGCATGATGGTCTGGTTGTAGGCGATGTCCGTGCACAGCGGGATGGAGATGGGCTGGCAGAAGCCGTGCTCGGGCACAGAGATGCCCTTCTCGCCGTGCGCCTGCGCCTCCGCGCGTGGGCTCTGCGCTGCGAGAAGCGCGCAGCCCACGACGACGACGACGAGGAGGTGGTGGTGGTGGAGGTGATGGTGGTGGTGGTTCCTGGCTGGGGACGAGAGCCCGCAGCGCTGCCTCGACCTCGCCATGTGTCTCGAGGCGTCTTTCCTCCCCGCGTCACTCACTCGCGCTGCAGCGCCCGCGGTTGACTTCTGCTGTTGCTTCTTATTGTCGAGTTTTTATTTCGCCCTCCTCTCGTCGCGCATCTCGCCCCACCCCCACTCGCCCTTGTTTCGCCGCACGCCGCTCAAACTTTTACAACAACAAAAGAAAACCTCACTAACCACGACACCGCACAGACGGTGACAACGAACTCTATCCGGGCGACGACTCCGGCGATGGTGGAGGCGGCGGCGGCGATGACGGCGTCGAAACAAAGAGACTAACTCGCTTTTAAACAACAACTCGGGAGGAGGTAGAGACGTCCCCCACTCGTCGTGTGGAGGAGAGGGAGACGGTATTGAGAAGAAGAGGGGGCTGGGGGAGGGGGGAGATGCCTAGGAACTCACTGCGCTACTTGACGCAGGATAAGTTGCGCTCCGAGCCCTTTGTGCCGCGTTCGCGTCGCGCTCGCCGTTTCGAGGCGGCCCGCACTGAAATCTGATCGCGCAATGGATTGGGTTTGGTGGATGGGATGCAGCGAGAGGCGGGGGGGGATGGAGATGTGTGGGGGGTGGGTGGATGTGGGATGGGTGGGTGGAGGAGGGGGGCTCTGGGATGTTGTGGTGGGGGGGTCGAACGGGGAGCGCCTTCAAGCGGCGTGGCGATTATGGATGTAGCCAATGAGCGAGCTGGCAGCTAATTCGTGCCAGATTTTGGCGGACCGAGCTCTGGCGATTGGTTGCAGCTGAGCGAGGTTTTTTTTCTTCTTCTTCTCCTCTCTCTCTTTCTCTCTCACTGTGAACGGAGCACCCCACCCCCCACCCCCGGGGGGGATGATCGGGTGGGATTGGCGCGTCCCGATAATTACGGAGTTACTCCGGCACATAAACACGGCGCTTGGGCCCGGCCGTTTGGCTTTGTCGCTTTCCTCTGCGGGCGTCAAACTCAAAAACAGATTCCGAAGCCACGGCGTGTTGATGATGATGATGTGTAATGACGATGATGAGCTGTATCCACAGAGCCTCACGCCCAGTCTCACAAGGTGCGCAAGAAGCGGTCCGCAGTGTTTCATAAGAGTGCTGTAGCTTGTGGTGGTGTTTTTTGGGCAAATTCCCGGACTTTTGCAGACGGTAGGAAATCGTAGTCATTATCAGCCATAATCATTCCACTTTTGCGTGAATGCCTCACCAAGGCGTCACCGTCTCTGAAGATGATGCGATGTAATAATGAACGGAACTGCTCGGCGTGTCCCTGCACAAGCCGCACTTACTTCACAAGTTTGAATGATGTCGTTAGCCTGTGTTTGTTCTCTAACCCATGCGCGCCCCCCCTCCCCCGTCTCTCACAGCGGCAGGAGAAACTCCACGTGGCTCTCCACTCTTCTTGAATTGTGCTCGTCGCTTAGAGAGCGCACGAATGTTAAGCAAAATTGTTCATCAGCCGTACAAAGAAAATAATAAAACAGGCATAACGCCTTCTTCCCATGTTGCGTTCTCCACCTACACATTAACAACTCTCTTTTACATCCCATCAGCCTCACAATGATTTGGGAGTGCATGTTTCCAGCAGCATTGCTTTAACACAATCACACTCGGTACCGGTTTCGACTGTATACGTGTCATCAGCAGAGCCGGGCTCTTTTAAACCAACGTTGGCGAACTGTTCCCGTGTGTAAAAAGGCAAGCGACTCCCAGCGAATTACCGTTGGTGGCTCCGGGTCGGGCATTGTTATTCGCAAAAGTCGCGTCTCCCTGCGCCTCCCCGCGTCTCATTTCAATAACAAAGACGACTCATCATTATACCACGCGTGCCAATTTAAAGTTCTCATTGTATTTCGTTTACAGCTACTCACCAGCTATCGGTAAGCATTGACGGAGGAGGTTCGGGGGGAGGGGGGGGGATAAAGTAAACTAATCGCGATAGTGAGCAGTCTATTTTAACCGTGCGACTTAAGACTTCACGGGGTCTGAGAGTATTGCTTGGGAAGATTGGCCAGTTATATGTATTTTTAGCACCTCCAATGAGCACCGGTGGCTAAGTACGGTGTGAAAGAAGTTCAACATACATTTATATATATAATTTGTGAACACGGGGGAATGATGTTTTCACTCTGCGTAGGTGAATAGCTTACTTGACCTACTGCCTTCTATACGCTGCCTTGTTACCATGTCGGTGGGTGTCCCGCGTACGCATTAGAAGTATACGTGACTACGTCAATTATGAATAATCTGAGTAATTATTTCACTGTGGATGAAGGCCTCCCCCGCGCCTTGTCGATCATGGGAGCTGTGTGTCAATAGAAGTTCTGCAAAACAACTCCCTACCTCCCCGTTGGTGCCGGGGCAGTAACGCTGTGGTGGGCAGTGCCATGGGGGGAGGGCCAAATTCGATTGGCCATTCCCCTCATGGCGTTTGTAGCCACCACAGCGGCAAAAGAGGGCTCTGGACGAGTGCGAGGGGCTGATAAACCCTCCACCTTCAAATAAATTACCACTAAACCACGAAAAATATATCAAACGAAGCTTGTGCCGGAGGCCCCGGGGGAACAGGCGTCTGTGACGTCTCCTGGCCAAACCCCATTTGGAGGAGCCAGGAGATTGAACCTTACCCTCCGTGTTCCTCCCTAAACAGCAAAAAGCCACTGCAGGTGACCACGTGTAATGTTCGAATGCTCACTGCGGAGGAGAGGCTGCCACTCCTCTGTCGGGAGATGGACCGGTACCGCCTGAAATATCTGGATAATGTCCCATCGGCGAGCTCCTCGGGCAGGCAAGGCTGCATTGGCTGGGTCATGTAGCCCGCATGCCCAGCCACCACATGCCTAAACAGCTTTTCTTCGGCCGGATAGAGGGGGCTAAACGGGCGCAGCACGGGATAGAGAAGAGATGGAGTGATGTGGTATAAGAGGACGTGGAGCTGAGTGGACTTGCCAATGACTGGTACCAGCGATGTCAAGATCGGCCTCTGTGGAGGAGGCTCGTGAAGGACGCTACTGGGCAGTTGGAGGCAGTCGCCCTCCAACAACAACGGAGGGCAGAGGAGCGACGCTCACAACAACGAGCGGAGCGGCGGGTGGCTAAAGCACAGTAAAAGTTGGCACAGTAGGGGGCACAGGTGGTGCATCGGCCAGTCATCTTAGTCGACCCGTGACACCTGGGTCTGCCCCATGACCTGCCAGCAGGCGTTCGACACTTCACGTGGCCTCAACTTGCACATAGCCTGGCACAAGCGCCGTGGTGACGTCACAGCCACTGAGTGACGAATGACGCTTGTTGTTGTTGTGACTATACCTCACGACGCTGGTCAATGCAGGTTACTGGAGGAGGTCGAGTGTCAATTCAGATATCATTCACGACTGAAGTTATCCATGGCCAGGAATATAACTCAGATTCATTGTGCAGTGCACTAACCACTGCGGGATGGCTCTATCACTCCAAGTCAATAATACTAACCTTTAATAATAAAATCGCTCTGCTTATCGACCGGAAAATCAAATCCAACGCTTAACTCCTGTAAAGTAAAAAAAGCATCGCACTTCTCTTACTGTTTATATTGAACTCATAGCGCCTGGGGTACTGTAGGATTCATATCACATTTCACTGTCAACTCGTGGCAGGCGTCAGGCACTCAGGTACCACTTAGGAGTCGCTACGAAATACATTCACGTACATTCTGTGCAGTTCCTCTGTGTATGGGCGGCGGGTTTTCTCTGCGCACACGCAACTAAGAGATTCGTAAAAGTCCAATAACATCCCAAGCAGGGCTTTCCCAGGTTTAAATTTATATCTATCAAAAAAAGCGTTTGAAAGATCAACCCGTACTGACCATCTTGGTGAAGTGTGGTCAAAGGACTCCCATAACCTTCACGTCTTCATCCAGCAGTGGATTGACAAAGAACTGTACATTCTTAACATCTCCATCTCGTATGATATTGTGCAGTTTCAGCTGTAGTGATTTTTATGTCTAATCTCTAACCTACGTAACTTTTCCTATCTCACCCACTATCCTTAATTATGTTAACGTTTGGCATTGTTTTCTTTTTTAGAAATCACAATGCGTGCAAGTAGCGATAAATATTCATACCCTTCGTTCATTAACAACTGATCCACTAATTGAGAACCGCACTTAAACATACACGATGCGCAATTAGTTCCGTTAATGTGCTTCGCGTAATTGCTTTCGCGAGAAAATACCAGATAAGCGTTTCAAAATCGTTCTTAACCCAAAAGCAATCGAGTTCCAGATCGCGTACAATTAATTGTATAAACATTTATCAGTAAAAAATCTGACAGTGGCTATCGAGTGTGCAGGCGGTGCAACTGCACAGGGGCTCACGGGTCGGGTTACGAAGCAGGGATTGAGGAGAAATTGCGGTTGAAAAAGGTAAGTGCGCAGCCCTGCAATAACTTGCTCACGTCACTGCTGGCGGAATGGCCTCCGCTCGGTTGGTGGGAGTACCCACATTTTACACCACAACACACAAACCGCCGATCAACTAAATGTGGTGGACTAATTTATATTGCTCGGCGGACGGAGGCGGGGAGGCGAGGCAGACTGTAATAATATAGTCAATCTTGACTTAAAGCTTTCGTGATTGCAGGAATTCATATTCTTTGGGTCTCTCTGTAAAGTCACATAGAGAGAACAATAAAATCATATTTACTTTTATTTTTTTTAATAATATTTACTTTTATATATTTTTTTGTTCTATCTACGGGACTTTACCGAAAGACCCAAGGAATGTGAACAATAAAATAATTTTTACTTTCATTATTTTATTGTTCTATCTACGTGACTTTACCGAAAGACCCAGAGAATATGAATACGGTAAATGTTCCCAAATCAACTGTCGCTACGGGATTTCGAAAGGGCGACCTCTGGATTACAAAGCCATTCTGCTAACCATGACAGCACGGCAGACAATGCCAGGTGGCTCAGCGATATCGCGAGTGACGTGCATTCGGAAGTTTGCCTGCTAAGGTCATGACCCCGCTTGAGGGTTGACTGAAGCCATCATCCCTCCGGGGTCGCTAAAATTAGTGCCGATTTGTGGGGAATTCAGCGGTGGTTGTCCGATGGATAAACTCGGCCCCGCCAGAGGAATGTGTAATTTGTACCACTGGCTCCGGGGCTGTAAACACGAGATTTTTAAGCACCAGTCAGATGCTCTTTTTGAGCAGCGCATAACTTTCGAGTAATTCTGCAGTCGTAACAGCAGCAACAGCAGCAGCAGCAGCGGTGAGTGATGACTATAGCAGTAATAATAACGGCAGTATAATAATAATACAATAACAGAGACGCCTTGTGCCGGGAGATGCCGTACAGTGTGTCAGTCAGTGAGGAAGGGCAGAGAGCCAAGCGCATTCCACGGCGCGCCTGTCATACCCGTCAGGCGACATTGCGTCCAGAGTGGCTCCGTCTGCCGCCTCCATGAGCCGCAAGACGAAGAAGAAGAAGAAGCCGAAGACGCCACTCACCGCCGACGCATAGAGCCGGGCATTCATACCGCGCGC